ACAATCAGTACACCTGACTTAGTATCACGACAGAAAAAGGACTCAACTGTCTCAGTGAAGAAGCACCTGCCCACTAGGTGTTCAGAAGAACAGGGGGAAAAGGCCTCTCCGGTCCTCTCTCCTGGTGGAGTGATTCGTGGGGTGTTGCCTGTCCCAGCCAAGCGGAAATGCATGGCCCTGCTTAGTTCAGTGGCACCACCCTCTTGTGCCAAGATGACCAGTGTGCTCACTCTCCCAGGCAGCTTGGGGGTGTGACCGACCCTGGAGGCCAGAAGTGAAATGCAGAGACAGGAGCACTATAGCTCCCAGCACAGAAAACTATAAAGCCCTTCTTGCTTGTGTTATAAATTACATATTTATTTTGTTAGCATGAGATAGATGAATATTTCTACATACAAAGGTGCCCAGCTAAAATCAAGATAAGTGATATTAATGTCCTATGGTCAGTATTATTGAACCTCAGAAGCAATAAACTTTATGAGTCAATAAATATTACATTTGCAACATAGTTAACATTCCTTTACTGTCTCGAGCACTTATTACACATGGTAACTGCAAGTGTACAATACATTATTCATATTTGGGGTGTCACCGAGTGATGGATTGCTGTGGGAGAGGCTGTCCTTTAAATAAATCAACAAATAAAAATGCAAATGTTAACATTTTCAGCCACAACTTTTCCACCTTGAATGGGGAATGAAAATTTCACATTATGTTGACAGGCAGCAGAGAGAACAATTAACAGCCTGCACCGTGAATGAGAAAGACGACTTTGCCACGCCTTGTTGTATCACCTGCATGTGGAATGATACGGGGCTCCGCCAGGCATTAGTGCTTTTCAGAGAACAAAGGAAAACCTGTCTCCCACTAGCATATGTCCCACCCACACTCCCTTGCAAGTCTTGAAAATTCTTGGAATTCAGGGTGACCAGGGAAAGGTCTTTTACTCCTGTTTACCTCACTACTACCTTCAAAGGTTTGTTGCGACAAACAATACATTTTTCTTTTGCATCGGGTTTTCCTGTAACTGCAAAGTAGTCTATAAGAAATGCCTTTTCTATGCTTTGAAATAAATATAATTCAAATAATCCTGATTCTGAAATCTGGAAAGTAACCACTGTGCCTTCTCGGTAATTGATTTTCGTAGCACTGAATCTTTTTCAAACTCTGCACTTTGTGGAATAGATGTGTAATATGCCACTGTGCACATTTGAGGGTTATGTGAGCTACACATTGTTTTATTTAGCCAAATGCTCATTATTTAGGAACCTTCTGAAAATCTATATTTGGCTGATTTGCAAGTATTAAGAAATAACAGATAAAGAGTCCTTTTCTTAAGGCCCATAAATATGAGTCTTCACAGCAATTTTAACCAGCCTTGTAAAACTCTACAGAGTTGACATGGTCCATTCAGAAACCGTGTGCAGGATGTTCTACACAATTCTCACTGGGGAAGCATTTTCTTTTCCTTTTTCATGCTTCTCTGTAAACCAAAATGCAATCATCAAATGCACATTAAAGTAGTGTTAAAGATCTCACTTTAACCTTCGACGGCAGGGAAATTCACTAAGACTGAAAATCCAGGTTCTCTCTCCTCTTTACCTGTAACTCTTCCAGAGGGATCTCTCAAGGTGAGTAAGGATAGATCTTCTTTGGGCAATAGGCCCTCAGCCACAGCATTAAGTGGTCCAAGGTGGGAACCCCATCAATATTTCAGAACCACAGTTCACTGTGGGTCTTTGGCAAAACAACAGCAGCATTAAAAGTAAAAAAGGGAGTAATAAACAAAGAATGTGGCAGACTAGTTAAAAATTCTTTTGATTGTGGGTAACCTCCAAAATAGGAAGGTTGTCTTTGTCAACTACAATAATATTTAAGATCTTGGGCTTTTTAGAGTCTGAAATGCTAGTTTGCCTTTTATTGGCCATGTAACCTTAGGCAAGTCAGTCTGTCTGAGCCACGGTTTCCTAATTTTTTAAAATCACAGGGACAGTAGTACCACTTTGTAAGGCTGTGGTGAAGACTGATTTGGATAATGCACATAAAGGACTGGGACTATAGTAGGCGCTTAATAGACGACAGCCACTATTATTATCCTCCGTGTCATTTCCCAAAAAATCTTTACAATTAAAATTGTCTCCAACTTTGTATTCATATGATAACATATCAGGTACTTAAGTGCTAAATTATATTCCCAAGTAAAAATAAGTCAAGCCTTTTTGGTGTTGATATTTATGTATTCAGCATCAAGTATATAAGTAAGAGATAACTTATTAGATATGAGAATTTTAATAACATGTTTCTTTTCCTGATTCCAAAAAAGGCTGATCAAATTATTAACTCTTCATTCAAATTTCTTTGGTATAAGCAAATGTTGACAGACCTTTAACTGTAGTACAAAAGTCTCTATAATTTTCAATATTAATTCAGTTAATTAAACTTACAGTCCAAGTATATAGCCGTTCTATGATAAATTGGAAGGACCTGCTGCTAAGCAGAGTTTTTTCTGATGAAAGATAAGATTAGTTTGTGGTTCTACAGAAATCCTTGACCATTAACATTGTCAAAGAGGGAAAGGTGTGTGTACAGGAAAGGTCTCCATGAGTTCAACCTGGCCAACTCTAGATGCCAAATGAAGGCCTCTCTCCTGAGTGAGAACCATTAAGTATCAAGAATTTTCCACTACTAATTAAACAGAACTCAAAATATATGTTATGCAAATAAAAGGCATCCAAAATGCAAAGAAAGAAATGCAACTGTCACTATTTTGCAGATGACATGATACTATACATAGGAAACACTAAAGATTCCACCAAAAATTATTAGAATAAATGAAATCAGTAAAGTTGCAGGATACAAAATTAACACACAGGAATTAATTGTATTTCTACACACTAATAACACACTATCAGAAAAAGAACTTAAGAAAACAATTTTATTTACAATTGTGTAAAAATACCAAGGAATAAATTGAACCAAGGAGGTAAAAGACCTATACTCTGAAAACTGTAAGACTTTGATGAAAGAAATGATAAATAACACAAATAAATAAAGTAGGCTCATGGATTGGAAAAATTAATATTGTTAAAATGTCCATACTAGCTGAAGCAATCTGCAATCCCTATAGAAATACCAAAAGGTTTTTTTCTTCCACAGAACTAGAAAAAAAATAATCCTAAAATGTATATGCAACCATAAAAGGCTGCAAATAGCCTAAACGATCTTGAGGAAGAAGGATCAAGCTGGAGGTATCATGCTCCCTGACTTTAAACCATACTACAAAGCCACAAAAATCAAAACAGTATGGTACTGGCATGAAAACAGATGCATAGATCAATGAAATAGAATACACTGCCCCAAAATAAACCTATGCATATATAGTCAATTTATTAATGACAAAGGAAGCAAGAATATACAATGGGAAAAGACAGTTTCTTTAATAAGCGGTATTGGGAAAACTAAACAACTACATAGAAAATAATGAAATTAGAGCACTATCTTACATCATATACAAGAATAAATTCACAATGGATTAAAAACTTGAATGTGAGATGTGAAACCATAAAACTCCTAGAAGAAAACACAGGCAGTACACTCTCTGACACTGATTTTAGCAGTATTTTTTTAGACTACTCTGTTCAAGGAAGGGAAACAAAAGCAAAAAGAAACAAATGAAACTATACCAAACTAAAAAGCCTTTGCTGAGCAAAGGAAACCAGCAGCAAAACAGAAGGCAACCTACTATCGAGTGGGAGAAGATGTCTGCAAAGCTTAAATCCAACAAGAGGTTAATATCCAAAAAATATAAAGAACTGATGCAATTTAATACCAAAAACAAAGATTTTAATTAAAAATAGGCAGAGAAGTTTTTCAAAAAAAGATATACAGATGGTCCACAGACACATGAAAAGATGCTCAACATCACTAATCATCAGGGAAATGCAAATTAAAACCTTAATAAGATATAACCTCAAACCCCCCCCAAAACCAAACCAACAAACAAACCCCCAAACCCCAAGTGTTAGGAAGAATCTGGAGAAAAGGGAACCCTCGGGCACTGTTGGTGGGAACGTAAATTAGTGCAGTTATTATGGAAAACAGTGTGGAGGTTTCTCAAAAAATCAAAAATAGAATCGCTATCGGATCTAGCAATTCTAGTTCTGGGTATTTATCATAAGATAATGAAAACACTGATTTGAAGAGATACATGCACCACTGTGTTCACTGCAGCGTTATTTACAACTGCCAAGATAAGGAAGCAACCGAGGTATCCACTGATAGAGGAATGGATAAACAAGAGGTGGTATAAAAATAAGAAATCTTATTACTGTTTGGTTATATTTTGAGCTTTGAAACCCCAGTACATAGTTGTGAGCTCTGTCCAGACGCTGGAGATAAGAGTGCTCGAATAAATTAACTTGTGAAACACACACATACACACACACACAAATATGGTACATATACATAACAGAATATTGGTTATAAAAAAGAATGAAATGCTGCCATTTGCAACAACATAAATGGACTTAAAGGGTGTTACGCTAAGTGCGATAAGTCAGACAGAGATAAACAAATACTGTGTGGTTTCCCTTATACACATCTACGGAATCTGAAACCAAACAGCAAGGAACAAAGGAGAACGAACCCACAGATGCAGAACCCGAGCTGGTGGTCGCCAGAAAGGGGAGGGTGGAGGGAGGGCAGATGAAATAGGCGAAGAGGATTAAGAGTTACAAATTTACAGTTATGACATAAATAAGTCATAAATATATAATGTACAGGATATGGAATACTGTCAATAATATTGTAATAATTTTGTGTGGTGCCAGTTGGTAACTAGATGTACTGTGGGAATCATTTTGTAATGTATATAAATATCAAATCACTATGATGTACACCTGAAATTAATAGCATATTGTATGTCAGTTATATGTCAATACAAAAATTTAAAAAATATTCGTATATGGAGAACGTTAAATTCAGGAATCCCTAGAGCTTACCGGGAAGTGCTGTGTTGGAGTGACGACAGGGCTGTGCTCGCAAGCTCCTTGTGGCTTTCTGTTGTCATCGGAGATGTGGACACATCTTTTCTAACTCCTGTCATTGTCCCTGTATGAACAATAAAGGAAATAATTTGGGCATTCAATAAAAATAAATGACAAGTCCATTCTGAGTAATACATTAGCGATTCTAGAAAACCCTAAGCTTTGAAATTAAGCATTCCCCGCCCCTCCCTGAAATGAAACAATGACAGATGGAAAACTCAGCGGGTTGTTTTGATTCTGTAAACATCAGAGATTTGTAATATCTTGTTTTTAAAAAGTACATTTGTGCAATAACAGACTGACTACAGATTTTTTAAAAGCATGATGCCCTCTCATATTCCTGCCGATTTGGGTTTCCTGTGAAAATGCCCAGGATGGCAGACTGCTTATTTCACTCCCCTGAAGTGTCATAACAAAAGATCATTCTCCTCTTTGAACAAATAGAAAACCCCAGCACTTTGTATCTCCAAAGCCCCCAAATTAAACTATCCTAACTGTAAAACTTTTAAGGCATAAGTGAGCCTTGAGTGTTTCTTTCAAAGAACTCTGCATTGTGCTAAAAGAAGTGTTTTACTGGGAGAGGTTCTCGACTGCCCAGGGCTGATCCGGCCTCTGCTGCTTTCTAACGAGCAATGGTTAGTTGGTCATTTCTTTTCTGAAGTGCTAAATAATAAGAAGACATGGACATAAATATCTGTTATTTTTGTTCGAATCTGTTAGTATTTCTAACAATAACAATTTTCTCCTCTTCCTTCTTAACAACATTTTCCAAACAACACATCCCTGCCTTTTTCCTGGGAGACTATGAGAATCTCATCCACAACTTTTTCCTGGTTCCTGGAAGACTTACCCAGACCACTCAGAGAAGCTACCTGGAGAGATTTGCTCTTCCTTTGAGAAGAGAGTGAATATTCAAATAGCGCAAAGACAACTCTGTGCATCGGGAATGCCAGACCCCAACATGCCAAGAATACAGTAGGCTACCTTCAGGAACGACAGTTTATGTGTGGCCACAGAAAATCAGGACAAGAGAAAGCAAGAGTAATGTCTACAGAGATGAGCACCAAAACCATCACCATGAGCCCTGGTGTTCCAAAGCTGTACTCAGTATTCACTACTCACTGGTACGTGTAGATGGAAACCATCCGCCATCTAAATGCACAATTGTCTTCTCCATGTCCACAGACTTGTGGGACCCTCAACCCAAACCAGTACATTCTCATACCAGAAATAAACTCATCAGTCCATACAGTGTTTTCAGTCAGGAAATATTTCCCTAATGAGAGGCAAGGGCTGGTGAGGAAGTGAAGGAAGGTGTGAGAGTGTTCTGAATAAGCCACTGTGACAGTAACAACAAAAAAAATAATAAAAATTCATAAATTACCCCAGGCAGTATGAAGTAATAACAACAGATACATACAGTATGCTTGGTATGTGCCTCATACCATTCTAAGTCTTTTCCATATACCATATATTCTTTTTTTTTTAAGTTTCACTTAAGTATAATTTGAATACTATAAAATTTAACCATCTTAGGTGTACAGTTTGATAAATAGTAGCAAATCTGTTTGGCTATGAAAGCATGGACACAACTCAGTTTAAAAATTTCTTATCATGGCATTGCTTATGTATTTTTACAATCCAGTTTTACAGTATTCCACACTTCCCAAAACTCCCCGTATGACCCAAAATCCCTTCTTCCTGGCTGGTCTGTTACTATCCCCCTCTAGCTCTATTGCTACAGTTTGGCCTTTCCAGAATTAGTTACATTGATTCTCATAAAAACCCTTTGCAATAGATACTATTTTTTACATCTAATTTACAGAGAAAGCCATAAACCATGAGGGATTTACATGACTCACCCAGGTCACCAAGCTAGTCAGTGATGGAGCCAGCATCCATGTCCAGACAACCTGATCCCAGGTTTCCATCACTGTGCTAGTTACTGCCTTTAAATGATACAAAAAGTCCGAGGAAGTAAGAAGTGAGGAGATCACGTCTGGCTATAGGATTAGGGAAGATTTAATGCAGGAGGTAGAATTTTGATAGGAAGGATTAAGGAGCATGGGACTAGCAAAAGCAGTAAATTAAAAACCTCAAGGCTAAATGTTTAGTATATTCAGGAAATATTTATTGAGCATCATTATGTCCTTGTACCTTGCTAGTCAATTTAAACCACTTTACATGCATTATCTCCTTGTACTTAAATTAATTACTGTCCTCACTTTGCAGATGCGGAAGTGGAAAGTGTGAAAAGGTCAAGCAGCATGTCCAATAGCACAGGGCTGGTAAGCGAGGCTGGGTTTTGAATACAATCAAGGTCTGTGTTGCAAACTCTGAAATACCGTGGTAGTTGGCCTCAACAGCAAAACAAAGCAGCAACAATGACAATCAAATTCACCAAACTGGTCTTTGGAGAGACGACTCTCATGCAGAATTTAGAATAGAGTGAAACAGAGAGAGGAAGCAGGCGAAGCAGTTCACTTCCACTACAACTGTCTGGGTGGAGTCCTGGGGTGGAAGTTCGAGTGGCAAACAGGAGCAGGAACGACTGAGCAGGGCTCGTGGGCGAGGCAAAGGGAAGAGATGCCTGCTAGTGACAGAACAAAGATCTGTTTTAGTCACTATCACATAAGGCTCAAACACTAGTCTTAGTTTGTCTGTTTTGATGCTTATGTCAAAAGTTTGGTCGAGACAATTGACATCCGACAGGAACAACGGAAAGAAGAAATTTCAACAGAGGGTGCAAGGACTTTTGACGGGATCCTTGCATGTGCTTCAGGAATGTGTGAAACCCCCCCCCCCCACTGTGTGCATACATGCTCCTTCACTTTTCTGGGCGAAGAGACCGCAGCTTTCACTGAATGATGAAAGGTGACAGGACTCCAAAAAAGTTAAGAGTGATTGCTCTGAGGCAGGGATCGACTTGATGGAAGCAGATCCTGACTGCACTGCAGGGATGTGTGAATACCACACCTTATAGAAAGTTTGCTCTGTTTGCTAGTTTTCTAAGCTCTGCTCATTAAGTTTCTAGAAAGCTATATATCAGCTTTTAATTATATTCATTCTGTAAAATTTGACTTGAATGTTTACTATGCCAACAGTTACAGTACATCCACCGAACTACACATCCCTCTATATTTACATATGCACACTCAGAGACAATGTACACATTTAAAAATAAAAGTGTTGGTAAGAATATTGTCCATTAGGCTGTTAAATTCTATCTATACGTGCATATGTTTATATACAGATGAATACATGTGAATAGAGTTATGTAAATAAACATGCATTTTTGCATACACAGACAGGATTGAACAGAATAGATCACGTCCTATCTGTACACGGCTGGGTGTGTGTCTGCCTATCCATCAATCAATATCTCAGAAGATGACTTCTTAGAGTTCAGCGTTTATGAAAGCCATTTCTGGGCCCTTCGTTATGTTTTGCCATTTAAAAACAGCCAGGCTATGTCTCACATCCAGTCCATTTTAAAGACTGGTAAAGAACACACCAGCACAGCTCCTCTCCAATCAAGAAACGGTCCTGGCAGCACTGCCCCTGGCGCGTCACCACCAACGTCCATCCACCCCCAGCACTGCCGCTTCTCCCCTCTGAGACCCAGGAGCCAGCCACTGTCCTCACTGTCAGTCCCTTTTGTTCTTCAGTTTTACCATTTAGAGATACACCCCCACAATGTGACACAGGTTTGCCACTTTTGAACTTTATAAAATAGAATATGTATGTATGTATGTATGTATGTATACATATGTATACACACATGTGCATACATTTCTTTTAAGATGTCTTTCACTCAATACTATATTTATGAGATTTATCTGTGTTGATGATTTGCATTTCTGCAGTTTGTTTTCTTTGCTAGGTAGCATTCTGTCTATGCATCCATTCCACTGCGGACGGACGTCTGGAGCGCTGCTGGTCTGGGCCGTTACGAAGGCTGCCGCTATGGCAGAGGAGGGCCGTTGTCCGTTGGAATGCACTCCTTGCCCTCTTCCTGGGTTCACAGCTAGACTGTAGTTTCCAATCCCCTTTGTAATGATGTGTGGTCAGGAGAAAAACCAGTGGATGTCACATGTGCCACTTCAGGATTGTCCCATAAAAACCTCCCACGTGTGCTCTTCCCTTCCCTTCCTGGTCTTCGCTGACCTGCTATGGCAGGACCAACCACAAGTTTCCTGTACAGGGTCAATGGCAAACATACTAGGCTTCGTGAACCATCCAGGTCCTGCTGCAACTCTGCAACTGTGCTGGTATAGCACGAAAGCAGCCACAGACAACACGTAAAAAAATGAAAATGGCTGTGTCCCAATGAAACTTACTTGCAAAAACAAGCAGTGGGCCAGATGTGGCCATGGACCAAGTTTGCCACCCCTGCGTCAGTGCACTGATGAAGGTGACCCTGCAGTGACGAAGGTGACCTTGGAAAGCACAGAAAGATGGCAGCGCCATCATTCTTTGGAGCAGAGCTGCTGTCCAACTAAACTTACCCTGGACTACTGCAAAACAAAGAAACTTCTTGATCTTGAAGCTACTGACTTTTTTTCTGTCCACTTGTTACCAAAGTTTAGCCTACCCTAACTGAATATACAGCTATGAACATATTTGTAATTTAATCACTGTGTGTATGAGATTCTCTGGGTATATATACCCAGAAAGAAATTGCTGGGGTACAGGGTATTTGTTCTTTATCCGCTCTGACCATCTCAGTGGGTACAGAAAAAGTTCTGATAAAATTTTATGCCCACTGCAATAACAACTCTCAGCAAACGAGGTAGGAGCTTTTATAACATGATAGACAGCACCGACAAAAAACCCTAAAATTAAAATCATACATAATGCTGGAAGCGCATCATAGGAAACTATGAAATCAGGAACAAGGCATAAAGTCCACTTTTACCATTTTATTCCACATTCTAATGAAAAGTTCTAGATAGTATAATGAGATAAGAAAAAAATAAAAGGCATAAAAAACAGCAGTCATTATGGACTGGATTACGTCCTCTCCCCTTGCCAAGTTTATGTTCAAGTTCTAACTCCCAGTACACCTCAGAATGTATTTGTAGAGAGGGCCTTTACAGAGGTAATTAAGATTAAACGAGGTCATCTGGAAGGGTTCTAATCCAATATGACTGCTGTCCTCATAAGAAGAGGGAGATACACCAGGGAACCCTGCCCACAGTGAAGGCCTTGTGAGGACACAAGGAGCAGACAGTCATCTGCAAGCCAAGTAGAGAGGCGTCATGGGAGAACCACCGGAAAGAAACCCAAGGGAACTGTCATGAATAAAAGAAATGTACTATATCTTAATCAGGGGTGTTTACGTAGATCTATACACTGTCAAAGTTTCTAAAACTAGACACAACGCATATGCAATTTTATTGTCTATAAATTAAATTGCAATTAGAAGAAAAGAAAATGAAGAAAACCCCATAGTTTTCTTGACTTTCAAGGCAGTGCTATTTTTAAGACTCTACTGTTATCTCTTTGACATTGCCAATCAATCACCATAAGGGACATGCATACGTACTTCTTACATCACTAAATCATTGCCAGTTCTGAGGTCAAAAAGTCTAACTGATTAGATCCTTTTTGTGGAAAAATGGGGCAAGGACACAGAGAGAACAGTCAATGTCCGTACTGTTACTTTAACTCATTCAACAAATACGATGAGCATCTACCACATATTACGTGATGGTTTAGGAGATGGGGATGCAACAGTGGACATGTGGGGTGCTTATATTTTAGTTGAAGAAATATAAAATATAAATAATAACTAAGTAAATTATATGGTATTTTGAGATAGTTCTAGTTATAGAGGATAGAAAATGTAGAGGCTCTGATAAGATTCCACACATAGCAACGTCGACACTCAACACTAGCCTTTTGCATGTGAATTCCTTTTTTGAGTGGACAGGGCGGGACGATTTAGGTCACATGCCTGGTTTTATTCATAGCCCTGTACTGTGCTTGTCTCCTGTGTTCTATTGATAAAGGCACTGACTTTTAACGGATCTATTAGCTCAGCCTTCTGGGAGTCAGAAGTAATATTTTGTGGTACCTTTTCTCATGATTAAACACAATCATAATGATGATGCTACTAATAAACATAAATGGGTGCTCCTTAAGATGGAAACAGTTTGCGCACTTAGGATACTCCAACATGTTTCCTTCTTCAATCATGTCGCCTTTCCACCCATCAGGGACTACGAAGAGCACTCGTCACAGCAAGCACAAGTTCGCTTGGACCAACTAGGAGCTCCAGAAATCAACCCTCCCTTTGGATAAGTCTACAATAATCCTCTTCCAGTTAAAAAAAAATGTGTTTGGAGCCCCTCTGGGAGCTTCAATCAGTGACGGCTGCTGTATATTACACAACCTCAAAAAAACCCCAAAGACGAAATGAAAGGCATGGTCAGTACCATCAGCTAAACTGACCTTACTCTAGGTTCCGCCTTGCTCAAAGTTTAAGGAGACTCAGAGATCAGTGAAAGAGGGACGAAGAGGAGGCAGCTCCAAATGAGGTAGTGGGCTCTGGGGTGGCGGAGGCAGGGTGGGCAGTGACAAGCCCGCAGCCTGGTGTTTCAGTCCCGGAACTTGTGTGCTCAGTGGGCTCGCAGCCGCCGCTAGCACTTGAGCACAAGAGGAAAAAATGCCCTCAGCTTCTCGGGCTCCTTTGAAAGGGAATCAGTGATTGCTCAGAAAGAGAAGGCTTGAGACAAGCTGGGAGAGAATTTTCCTTCCTGTGTAGGAAGGAAAAGAGAGAGAGCGATCTTTTCTCCAGATTTGTGCCTTTGGCTTAGAAGTTCTTGACTCGAGTTCAGATTCCCTTAAGTAATGTCTCCTTTTTGCACATAGTTCATTAAAACCAACTGAATACAACCCTAGTATTGTTGATTGCAAAACAATTTATACCTTAAGTGTAACCTTGACGATACTACACATATTTTTGTGATCACAGGTTGTTTCTTGAGGTAAGAGTCAGGTCCTTTTTTCTTTCTTTTTTTATATGTTTAGTATGTATAAAGTTGACAGAATGGTGAGGGAGACAGGAGAGGTAAAGGAGAAGGAGACTGATAATAAAGATTAATGGCCCTGCAGTAAATGTCCTGTGTAGTGCTTAATAATTACAGGACAGCAAAAGAAAAAAGGATAGAAAACAGAAGAAAAGCATATTTAAAAATTCAGATACAGTAAAGAGGAGCACACGATTAAGGAGATGAAAAACCAAGCAGTGTAACTTAGGCAATGAGCGCTAGGTCACCGGCCTCATGACAAACGTGTCTGGCCCCTCTGCAGCGTGGCTTGGAAAGCCTGTCTCCCGTGGGGTGGGGCACCGGGCAAGTGCTGCTGCAGTAACTTTGCCCCGCACTGGAGTCCGTGTGTAGCAGCTCTGCAGTGAGCAGGATGACTCGAAGTGCCCTCTCTCAATCATCAGGTGTATTATCATTTTGTTAACGTTCCATATTAGAATAAAAGAAAAGAAATGGCCTTTCTTACATATAAAAAAGTTAGTAATTCCTGTGAGTTGAAATGTCTTGAGAGAACTTTTGGAAAGATGAACAAGTTTCTAGTTTTCACTGCAACACTATAACTCCTCCCCCAAAGAGAGGAAGGAAAAAAAAAGTAACGAAAAAGTAAGACCCTAAGTGAAAACTGTTCCTGAAAACTTGCAGAATTGTAACAGCTTTCTCTCTTTAAATTGATTGGTGTAGCAACATTATAAAATGACTATTAGGATTCATTGTGCACAACAGAAAGTGCTGAAATGTCAGCAGACTATACAGCAAAAAGTAATGGGTTCTGAACCCCTGTTAGTCAAAATGATTTTGTTTCAAATTAGAAATTGATTTTTTTTTTTTTGGACACAAGCCCTCTCCAGGCTTCCGGCTTCTGTAGCAGGGCCTGAGAGAGATTAACGTCCACCAAGGCAAGGGCTGGCTAGATGACACCTTTCTCAAAGTCCTGTTCCAACTGGAGCTTTCTAAGGGGCTGTGGTCTTAACCAATCACACAAGCTATTTGTCCCTTTGCTGTTACACTCCGTTTTCCTCTTTTTGCCATTTTATTTTAGTGCTGACACACAACACAAATTGGGTGATGAGTTAAGAGAAGACTACGTTAAGCCTTGCGGTGCAACTGCCACACCAATTTTGACAGGCTCTCCACTCCTGAAAGTGCAGTGACTAAAGAAGAGAGGAAGAAGCCAAGGCAAGAGCCGCCCCTGCCCGAAGGACCGCTAACAGAGGACGTAAGGAAGAGCCCACCTGGGATGCCACGCCTCCTGAATTTCGCTGTTGTTTCTAAGTTGTCCTAAAGCAATGGAAGTCTACTGAACGTCTCCCTTGTGCCAAACAAAACAAGCTTTTGCTTTTGTTTCAAATTTTGGACAGACTCCCCTCTGAAGTTAGGACTAATAATCATCTCTCATTATCTGGGAGGGGATTAAACAACTTCTAGGTTAATCATAATTAAAACCGAAGAAAAAAAAAAGGACGAAGCTGGCTGATGAGGAGGAAAGTCAGGGGCGCTACACCTGTAAGATCCTCTCATGAAGCACTGCACGTGTCTCAAGTAAAGGAGTGAGCCAGTGGTCAGGGAAATTACGAGAGGTCAGCTGCTGAATTCTAGAGATGGGCTGGTGCTAGCAGTTGGAACAGAGGTAAGTCCAAAGGAAAGCAGTGCGCATGGCTGTGAGCACAAGAGGGAGATGTCCGGAGCAGAGGTGTGAGTAGAGGGCACCCGGAGGCCCTTTCCGGCCCTGTGTTCCCTGTGGCTGTCTCTTCCCTACAGAAGCTCAGACCTGTTCCATTCTGCTCCAAACTCCTTCCCTTAATAATTCCAGGACAGATTAAGCCAAAGCCATCCCCAAAACTGGGAATTAAATTTAACTGATTCACTCAACATTTCACACTGTTATTTATAACTGATTTTAAAAAATACCCATGACATATAAAATAGGAAGAATTACTGGTACTTAAAAGACTGCTAGGCAATATATACTTAAAACTTATGAGGTTTTGTTTCAGCCACAATGTAGAATTTATCCATGACCTCTCCTCCACCCTCCCCATATTTCCAGTAAATTGAAGATTAACTGTGGTTGTTAGAGTTTACTTTCTCAGCAGAGATTTATGTTCATTTTCACGTCCTCTTTACTCACTTTGAACATTACTTTGTGTCTGTGACGATACTTACTACTGAATAATTCTTACAGTTTGCTGCTTGCAGAAAGAGGGGCAAGTGGATGGTTTCTCATATGAGTATTCTCAGAGAAACACTGATAAAATTCACTGGTCTAGACGTGCTGCCTATGGCCTTGCAGGTACCTGTCAGTGTGTAACATATTTAACTCTTGCTCAGGTTGCAGGAAATCATCTGGAGTCCATGGCCAGCTGACGCCAGCAACCACCTGCCCCCAACAGGTTCTCATTTTGCTAGGGATGCCACGTCTACCTCTCTGGGGTCGGCACGTCTCTTCCTTCGGGCATGTGCACCGGGCACCCTCTTCCATATGTGACTGAAACCCAACGGTCTTCTTCTCTTTTCTAGTCTCTCCACTGGGGGTGGACTCTTGGTACTTTTTGATGGATGACGATGTTCCAAGCAGCCAGCCATCACCTGCTGACTTCAACAAACTGAAAAAAAGTAAGTATGAATAAGCTGCAGAGAGCACAGAAGGGATATAGATCACACGAAGGCATATAAACTCAGCATGAGTTCAGATACAATTCTTGTAGTAAAAACTTTTTTTCTTTTTTTTTGAGGAATAATTTAAATAATTTATTGAAGATCTATTTTTTAAAATCCTCACCCGAGGACATGTTTCCATTGATTTTAGAGAAGGAGGGATGGGGGAGATGAAGGGGACGAGAAAGGGGTAGAGAGAGAGAGGGAGAGAGACTTGGATGTGAGAGAGGAATATCAATGGGTTGTTTCCTGTAGGCACCCAACCAGGAATTGAACTTGCACTCTAGGTGTGCACCCTGACCGAAATCGGACTGGCAACTTTTGGGAGCATGGGACAACGCTCCAACCAACTGGGACATGTGGCCAGGGCATACTGAAATCGCCTGTGTGCCCTACCACAACAACGTCGGGGAAGAAATGGTCTTTATCCTCCAAAGCCTATGTCTGGAGTTGGAGAAATGAGACTCAGGCCCATCAAACTGCTAATAAAGCCACAGATTATGACTAAGAACTAGAATGTCTGTAGAAGTAAAAAGGTATGCTAAAGCAAGGCCTGCATATGTACAATGTTTCCGAACACTAAAAATGAACATTAGGAATTAAAGTATTACCAATTTGCCTCAAAGTGCATTTGTGTTTCTCATATTCAATTGTTACAGTATTTCTTATGCACCCAGAGTATGAAAGAAGGTGGCACAACATGCATGTGAAAGAACTGACCTCTGTCCTCATATAATTTCATCAAAAATCAACAAGGTGAATATGGAGTAAAAAGAATTTTAATAAAAATAAACATCTGTGCATATGTTTCTCTCTCTCATAAACCGTGCCCCCACCTTACCATATTTCCTCTTCCAACATTTTATTGTTTGGAGAGTAATGATCTAATGATGTATATATATGTCCCTTATTATACTACCAGCTTTTCCTTGTAACTTAAGTTCACCACAGACCCATGACACTTTGTTTTTTTCTTCCGTTTGCCCATAAACAAAGTGAAAATTAAAGTGAGGAAAAAAAGGCTTTACTCAATAAATAAGACCCTAAAAAGCTAAGATGCTCACACTCCCTGGCAGCAGAAATCATCCCTAGACAAGAAAGAACTGACAGAGTATTACTGAGTCCATCGCTAATCACAGGGGGCCCCGGGCCAGAAGTCAAATCACGTAAACTCACGTAAACCCATCAAACCTGCTGGCCTTCTGTGATCAGAATGTTTAGTAATGTTGGTTCACATTGTAATTTATTAATAAAAAAAGAAATTAAATGGCTTCATGCAATATGACTTTATATGGGCATAATGCAATGTATTACATTTATATTCTTTAATTTTTTTTTTTTAACCAGAACCCAGGTATCACTGTCCCATGAGGAACAACAACTAATGGATGTGTATCTCAGCTCATCACTTTCATTCACCATCCGGGAAAACAGGAGAATAAAACGACCTCACTGTGAATGTAAGATAAGTTTACCTCAACCCCGAAGCCCCAAACCCAGGCAATCCAACAACTACATCTCTGCTTGATGATGTGACCATGACTATTGGCTTCCCCCAAATTCATTCATTCTCCACTCAGCTGAGCTCACAATACCAGCCAATTCAGATCAATCGTAACTCTGCTTCCTGCTCCTTTACTGTACCAAACCCCATCCTGGTAAGCCTTTATCTCAACAGGGAACTTAGTTCCTAATTTCCCTGAAATAAAGATGACTGCATAAAAATCTGCTCTTTCATTTGCATTTATTTCCATCTTTATCCATCTACTATTCTTCTCTTAATATCTCTGAAGAAAATTATACCTTTTATTCACACTGTTGATACCATTTTAACCCATGCCCTCTGTGCCTATGGCCTGTCAATCATCTCCTTTTCTTAATACTTACAGACTCCTCCTCCTCTCAGCTGGATTCTTCCCTAGGAGTACAAACAAGATCAAACTTTCCACTAAAAATCAAAACTGAACCTAAAACTAAAACCTCTTTTCTTAAGTGGGGAGTACAACACTCAGTGTCAGTGAGGGTATGCACAACAGTGTTTCAATGCACTGAAGGAACTGCCCATTGGTTATCGCACTCTGTGGATGACATGTCAATACAAATAAAATAAAATAAAAATGCACCCACCCTCCTAATCTAGTTTTAAGATGTTGCCCCACAGAATCATATAAACAATAGCATAGGAACATTTTTTTAAGGATGGTCATGGCAGAATTATTTGTAATAGTGAAAAACTAAAGGCAAATATTTTCTATTGGAGAGTAAGAACATAAACTATGATACACCCATCATAAAGAATGCCATTTAGCCAAAAAAAATAAGCTATATAAGCCCTGGCTGGTATAGCTCAGTGGATTGAGCACAGGCCTGCGAACCAGAGGATCACGGTTCGATTCCCAGTCAGGGCACAGGCCTGGGTTGCAGGCCAGTTCCCAGTGGGGACCCACAAGAGGCAACCATACATTGATGTTTCTCTCCCTCTCTCCTTCCCTTCCTCTCTAAAGATAAATAAATAAAATTTAAAAAATTAAGCTATGTAGTTCTCTATACATAGTTCTGTATATATTGTGGAGAAAGTTCATGATATACTAGAAAGTAAAAAAAAAGCAATTTGCAATAAAAGAATGTATACTGGGATCTTATTTTTGTAGAAACAAAAATATATAAAAATATTTTTAAAGTTTTGGATAAATGCCAAACCAGAAAAGTAAAAATAAAATGGATGAGAGACTTATAATTTAATTTATATACTTCTGAATGTTTCAATTTCTTTCAATAGGCATGTACTTTTGTAAATAAAAAACCAAAACTTTCACCATCTCCTTTATATTACCATCTCCTCTCCCCTTCCTTTCTTTGCAGAACTTGTGGAGACAGTAATTAATTTTAACATACGTACCTAGTAAAGCAATATTTTAAAGGACAAATCTAGTGGCCTCTTCTTTTTCAACCGTATTGCCTGTTACTAGACCACCTCTCAACAATTGGCTCCTTCCTTAGAACTTTTTTCCCCTGCACTTCATAATATATATATATTATATTGATTGTTTTCATGATATTTGTGTTATCTTGACTGTTTTAATAGTTTTAAGAGACTTCTACTCTGATTCTTTTCCTGGAAACTCTTCTACGTCCTCTCCTGAAACGGCAGGCACTCCCGAAGATCCTGTCCTCGTTGTCCTCCTTCATTTCCTCCTTAGCACTTTCTCAGTGATGCTTGCCACACCCTTCTATCCTCAGTTCCGATTTCTAAATGGATCTGTCCAGCCCACAGTCCACAACTGCGGACCTGACCGAGCATCTGTGGGAAAGCTGCAGAGGGATGTCTTGTCATCCTGCCCGAACCAACTCATATTAACGCAGTGCGTAATCTTCATCATGAAACTAGTTCCTCCATCTGTTTCCATTCTCATCCGTTTTCTCTGTCACATGAAAAACTTCAGTTGTCTCAACTTCTGATTTCCTCATTCCTATTCAATAAATTATTAAATCAATCATTTACTTTTCACCAGCTATCTATTGGGGACAGTACTCTATGTCAGGATAATATGCTGTGGGGCTGGTGTAGGCAAACATAGAAATGAATATTAATTGAGTACTTCATATATGCTAGGTACTGCGTATACAAACGCAGACATTCAAGGACCTAGTTCCAGTCCTCAGAGTGATTTTAAAGGTGGAGACGGAGTGGAAAGAGATCATTTAAAACCCGATAAAAGCTGTAATTCAGGAATGTACAAGTTGCTGTGGGAACACACAGACAGGGGCACCTAGTTTTAGCTGCATAACCAAAGAGAAATTCTGACGCATTTAAACTAAATCTTAGCAATTAAGCAGGAGGTAAGGAAGAATGAAGGACTGGAGGAAAAAAACAGTATTAGCAAATATACCAACTAGTAAAATTAATATATTTTAGACAAGTTAAACAGTTTGGTTTTGCTACAGCATCAAGTGTGGGGTTTGGGTGGGGAGAAGAGGCAGGTGGAAGAGGACAGATAAGGGAGTGTCAGGTCATACAAGGTTCGGTTTCCAGTGTCAACGGGCTTGAACTCCGTCTTATAGGCAAGCCAGAGTCATTAAAGGGCTCTACGGGGAAAAATGACATGATCCATCCCAAATTTATGAAAAATTACTCTGGCACTATATAGAGAACAGACTGCAAGAAGCTCATGAGTCAGAAGGTGCTGGAACAGCTCTGATGAGATGATGAGGGTCTGAAATAGAGAGGCAGTAGTAGACATAGTGAGGAGATAGCTTTTAAAACATATTTAGGATTTGAAATTGGCAGAAAATGATGAGTGCTTGAATGTCAAAAGTGAGGGAGAAAAAGGAGGATGATTGGCAGAATTTTGGGTGGATAAGCAATACTGAGAAAATTTGGGAAGGGTGGGAGAAATTAAATGTAGCTTGAGGTGCCTATGAAACATTTGGGAAGATATTTCAAGAAAGCAGTTGGATCAATAACTAGCTTTTTGCTAGCTGGCTGACTTTAGGGTGGTGGGGTTGAGAGAGAGAGGGTTGAGGAAGTACATGCTTCACTTTCAATTTTCTTGGTGAAGGCAAAGGTAAACTCATTCCTTTAAGTGAAAGAAATGGGTACTGAGAGGAGTGAAGGTTTGGTGAATATATTGAAGTAATTCAAGATAAAAACAGCCAAAAACAAGAAACAGACTCCTACAATCTAGAAGACCTAACAGTTAGAAATCATCAATCTGTATCAGGGTTTACATACACATATGTGAAAGCAGAAAGAGAGGGTTGAGAGCCTGCTCCAGGGTTAGGATCCAGGGAGGGCAGCAGACTGAAGGTCAATGCAAGGTTCAAGCTGTGATACCCTGCACCAGTACAGTGCCCAGTACGAAAGCCCTCGCCACCCAGCCCTCCTCTGGGGATCAGGCTCTAACACCCTGTGATCAAATTAATTTTAGGGTGTGATGGAAGATAGGGG